TAATATGTGGTTATTATGTATGTTTCTGCGTAATTAACAAAAACGTGCATTCCGATTCTTTTGTCTAGGTACTGTATATACCAACAAACAAAAATTATGCTAGTACTAAAGTGTATGATTAAGTAAATACGGTCATCGCGTAATAAAAATCACAATTGGTCAATGAATGAATGTGCCGTTGCAAAGTTTTCATTCCATTCGCGAATTAATCATTTTTTTTGATTGTGATCCTTCTTCCCTTTAAGCGTGTTAGTTGTTTTTTTGATTGATATATAAACTGTTTGTATTTATTGATCAAACAAGATTCTTTTTTCAATCAATTCAGCAACTCTCTTTTCAAAAAAAATGACATCCGTCTTCACTACTATCTCTTTCATCAAGACAGTTTCCGGAACCTCTGCTTTGGCTGGTGTCGCAACCTACAGGTGCGACGATGATGAATTCGTTGACTACAACTACAAGGCATTTACCTCGATCGAAAACCAGCACATGATCCAAATGATCGAACCAAACACAATAATGTTGGTTACGGGAAGGTTCGTCTTGGAGAACTCTCGATTTGACGTGAGTGCTGACTGATTGTTTTTTTTTTTTGATGACGTTTTTCCTTTTTGGTTCTTAGACCACTTGCTTACTAGCTGAAATGTGATAAATAAAAAAAAGGTCACAGTCATTCAAGCAGTGTTGCTGAATTTGAAAACAATTGAGGAGCTCCCATCAATCTATGATCTTCCATCTTGTCCGCCCTTTGGCAATTATTCGGCTCTGTGCAAGTCCTCAGAGATCAACAAAGATGCCACCTCCTACTTTACCTTGGGACGAAGGACTTACAATCCTGTGACCTCCAATTACTCGATCGCTGAGGTTGCGTGTTCCTACAATTCCGGCAACTCCAGATATGCTAACGTCGCAAAAGCAATTGAATCTACAGCGGTCTTCTCCGTCAGCGGCAAACTCTATGGAGGGAAGAACATGGTGCAGATAATTACGTCAGATATTGAATGGAACAATGTGTACCCAGCAACAAAAACGAACAATGCATCATCATCAGAACCAGGATCTGATAATAGGAAGAGGCGCAACCAAGATCTGATGAATTATGAGAGCAGGTGTCAAGGCAGCAGCAGCAAAAGGTCTGCTAAAACAAGGGAACACAACCAAAGAACACCAATCAACATCGAAGAGGAGACTGTTGTGGAGCATCCTGAAGAAAGGGTTTCTACTGAGGTGCTGAGAGGTAGTAGCGGAACCCAAACTGAGCCTGAACCTGAACCTGAACTTGAACCTGAACTTGAACCTGAACCTGAACCTGAACCTGAACCTGAACCTGAACCTGAACCTGAACCTGAACCTGAACCTGAACCTGAACCTGAAGAGATCACTATCAACAACTCAAGAGCTAGAAAGCTCAAATCAGCGATGTCCAGCAGAAAAAAAAAATAATTTTTCCTTCGATAAGCTGAAATTAAAATGCATTTACCTTTTTCGTTTAGCTGATTCATTTTCTATTTTTAGTTTTCTTTTTTCGACAAACCTGCAAATGCTTTTTGCCTTTTTCGTTTAGTATTTAGCCAATTCGTTTTTTATTTTTTTTATTTTTAGCTTTTGATCCGTATATCCGTTTGTTTATATTATTTTTTACCTTTTTCGTTTAGTTTATTCATTTTTTATTTTTAGCTGACCTGTTTTTTTTTACTTTTGCTTCGCATCAAGGTTGAACTTTCATTTGTTTGTGTTAACTGACCTTTTCGCTTTGTAATAATAATAATAAATAAAGTTGAACCTCCGTCTGTATATAAGATGCTGATGTGTCTTTATTGATGTCAATGTGTTTTTTTTCCCTCTTGTAAAAATTAATTAACGAATTAAAAAAAAAATAAAGTAAAACAAAATATCCAACTACGGATAATACAACCGTTAGGCAAATCAATTTTTTTTTAAAAAAAAAAACACAAAAACGAAAACAAATCACCAACTGTCAAAACGTTAACGTAGAGAAGATGAACCACGAGATGAGGCATTACGCGATTTCCGATTTTGTCGAACCGAGCTCTGAACCACGACCTGACCAGGTTTCAGACGCATCCTTCCTCGGTAGTTACCTTGACCACAACGAAATCAACCAAGGTGCGCGAAGCTTGCGGCAGAACTATACATGCGATGGTAATTATTTTGCCAAAAACGTAATACGTAATACGTAATTACGAAATTAATTACGGGTGACGAAATCAATTACGGGTGACGAAATCAATTACGAGTGACGAAATCAATTACGGGTGACGAAATCGATTACGCGTGACGAAATCGATTACGCGTGACGAAATTAAATGACACCTATTATTTATCTCGTTAATAATGATAATTAAAATTTATATTGTAAGTTTTATAATTTAATTGAAAAAAAAAATTTATAGAGATTTTTTATAAATTGATATGAGCACAGCTCTAAAATAAAAGATTTTTCTTATCTTGTTAAAAAGAAAAAACTTAAAGAATTTCGTGAGGTCATTTATATATATACAATTTTTCATTGGAAAGATATTGTCAACAAATTGATTCTATGAACTTTATGTTTGGTTAATTTCCCAATAATTGTTTTAATTCGCAAAATTTCCTTGTTTATTTACATGTTTTTCTATAAATTTTTTCTAAATAAAACTACTCTCTTAGCATACACTATGACATAAGTGCTCGTTTATAAATTATGTGAACGTCCATATTGAAGAAGGGCTTACTGCTTTGTTGAGAATGAGTCATAATGAGATAACACCACATAAAATAATAGATTTTTTTTGTTTTAATATGTATGTTTGAAATTTTTGGTGTAGTCGCCATTTTGAAAAATAAGAAATTTACTTGTTATCTTAGCCCTGTCGATCTTATATGTATCTAATAAAAAAAACTCCCTGTTGATAAATGCGAATTAAAAGATATTCATGAAAAAGAAATTATTCATAGTGGTAATATTCTTCAAAGAAACCAACGGGATTCATATATTACAGATTTAGGATTATCATACCCAGCTAGTCAAACATCATCAAGAATGGTATATTTGGAGTACTATCATATATTACACCAGAAGCTTTAAAGGAAAAACCATATACAATGGTATCAGATGTATACAGTTTTGGAGTTCTGATGTCTGTAGTATCAACTGGTCAACATCCATTTAATAATTTGGCACATGATATATAGACTTTGCAGTGAAAATATGTGAAGGTGTAAGACCAGGATTCTCAAACAACACTCCAAAACTCTATATTGAACTAGCATTCAGATGCATGGATGCTAACCCAGATAAACGTCCAACTGCTGAAGAAATTTGGAAGATTATTAGAATTTGGAATGATTCATTCGACTATCTTGAACCAGAATCAATTAGAAATTTTTTTTATAAAATGGATAAAATAAAATTTGATCCTTCAATAATTACTGCAGTAATTCATCCAAATGCAATTTATACTAGCAGATTATTAAAATTTACAAGCTTTCCCCAACCTGTGAATTCCAATAAAGTAACAATTATTAGTAATAATAATGGTAATTATTAACATTTAATCATTGATTATTTTCTTTTTTTTTTCATTAATTTTTAAAATTTATAATATTTATTTAGTATCCACTCTTGCGATAAATATTCTAAACAAATTGAATTAGCTATACCAGATGGACTACTTGAATAAATCTTGTCATTTTATTACATATTAAATTATTTTATCTGGCTACTATAATTGTGATATTAGATATCTTGAGAAATGAAATCATATTAATAGCGGTACTATATATAAGGTAATAACTTACAATTATCATAACTGATTTTTTTTTCACTTGAAATTTGGATGCCAAATATACACACTAAAATAATGTAAATTTTAATAATTATTACCATCATACACATATTGTATTCGGTATTATTTATTTTCTTGTCTTTTCAATCAGTTGTTTCATTTTTTTTTTATAGCATTACAAGTATGGTTGCTTGCCAAAGCTCCTCCGGAAATCAATCGGTACAGTTTTGACATGTTACACACTAATTTTTTATTAGAGAGTTTCGGCATTTGGGGGTTTTGACAATTGGCAGAGTTTCGGCAGTCATTAAGAGGTTTCGGCAAGTAACCTTAATTACAAGTTGAAGTGGTATAATTATCAATATATCAAATAAAAAAGCCCATATCTAAATCATTTCAACTTGCATAAAAATAAAATTGGTGGAAACATTTTATCATGGTAAATTATCTCCAATACGACATGTGTTGTTGTGATTAAATTTTGTTTGAAACTAACGATTAGTTAGATTCTTGACGAAACAAGTTCATTAATTGATGAATGAATGTTGTTAATATTGTGTGTGAAAATTCACATATCTATATATATCTGAAAATTAAAATTAGCCAATTCAAAGCTCAATCTTAATTTCTATATGGATTTGGTAGATGTTGTGCAAACATTGTTAAAATGGTATAGAAAAAAAGGTAACTACTATCCTTTTTTCAAGCACATGGAATTCTTAAAATTAATTAGATACGTCCAGGTTAAACAACAAAGGATAAAAGAAAGTTTGAGTATGACTTTATATCCTTCGGTGCTTTCCTTCGGGAGATAGATTCATTCTTATATGTAATTAATTTTTATATAAATATTTCTTTATTATGCTTTTATTCGATCTTCAACTGTATTGAAGTATTGTTTGCAGAGGCTTGGATTTTTTTTTTTTAATGAGGTGGATTTCATGTTCAGTTATACTTGGAATCAATTCGAATCAATTTCATCACTTTCAATATAAAGCAATTTTATTATTATCTACTTTTTTTTTTTTTTTTTTTTTTTTTTTTTTCAAAATACAATCAATTTCAAGGACATCGGACTATTTGAAAACATTACAATATCTTTAAACGTTTAATTACATTTTCGATATGATTTTTTTAATTAATAATAATAATGGATATCAATTTGATTTAGCACATTACGCAAAAATAGGGTCGCCCTCGGTACACTCTTGTTGTTGTTTTTCACAATCCTGTCCTGAAAATGATTTATCGCCACCGTTGAATTTATTAAAACAGAGATTTTTCTAGAGAATATAAATTGTTTTTTTTTAAGAAAAATTAATATAAAAATAAATAATTGAAAGAATCGAATGAATTGATCATCGTGTTTTGTATTACCTGAACATCACATTGTCTTTGGTGAGCATTATCTACACTTTGAAATGTACTACCATTGACTTCAAATGTTCCATCGGCATTTTCAGTAATCTTAGGAGCTTTTACACCACCAACAGGGTTTGTGTTAAAGTTGGTAGGCTCTTCTTCTTCTTTCTTTTTTTCAAGATCTTTTGGACTAGCACCTTTCGCAAAAACAGGGTCGCCCTCGGTACACTCTTGTTGTTGTTTTTCACAATCTTGTCCTGAAAATGATTTATCGCCACCGTTGAATTTATTAAAACAGGCATTTTTCTAAAGAATATAAATTGGTTTTTTTTTTAAGAAAAATTAATATAAAAATAAATAATTGAAAGAATCGAAAGAATTGATCATCGTGTTTTGTATTACCTGAACATCGCATTGTCTTTGGTGAGCATTATCTACACTTTGAAATGTACTACCATTGACTTCAAATGTTCCATCGGCTTTTGCGGTAATCTCGCGAACTTTTACACCACCAACAGGGTCTTTATCAAAAGCTCTCTTTAACAACAATTTACTATCAGAAACTGGTAATGCATTAGTTGAAGCTACCAAGACAGCAAGCACAAATAAAACTTTAGAAAATTTCATATTGTTGATTTTTTGAATGAATGAATGAATAAAGAATGAATAATTAATTGATGAATTAATGATAGTTAAAATTTAATTTTTGTAATTTAACTGAGACTAGCTCGAAAAAAAAAATATTGTGATTTTTTATAAATTGATTGATACGAGCACAGCTCTAAAAATAAGTAATTTTTTTGTTTTGTTGAAAAGAAAAAATTTAAAAAATTTTGTGGGCTTATTTATATATACAATTTTTCATAGAAGAAGATATTGTCAACAAATCAATTCTTATTGATTAATTTCCCTAAAAAATCGTTGGTTTTGTTAATTAATATTAATTTAATCACAAAAAAAATAAAAATTCGTGCAACATTTCATTCATTGATAAATTATTTTCCCCATAATCTGCAATATGACAATTACATATTGTTTGAAACTAACGATTAGTTATATCTTTACGAAACAAGTTCATTAATTGATGAATGAGTGTTATATGGTGTGTGAAATTGAATTTTACAATCCACATATCTGAGAATTTAATTAGCCAATCCAAAGGAACTTTACGCTCAAACACGTCTCATCTTAAGCGGGGTGCTTGCTACTAACCAAATTTGAATATTTAATTTTTTCTTTAATATGGGAATTATCAACGTTAATTTGTAAAGTGCAAATTTTTCCTTGGTGAAGAGAATCCTCCCACGGGGATTGAAAATTAGTGGGACCAAGAAATGTCCATTGGGCCGATTGATTTATTTCTTCTCCCAAAAATTGAAAAGATAATACTGTATATATGTGAGCGTTCCAAAATGACGATTTCTTTAATAAAAAATGATCATTGCGACCTTTTCAAAGAAAAAAAGCAAATCTTAGCGGATTATAATAGACAGAAGTTTCATTATAACAGCTTAAGATGCTGTTAAAAATTTTTGGCGTTTCCATATATATATATATATATATATTTATATATAAATTCACGAAATAAATAAAAAACCCGAAAATTTGTTATGTCTTTTTACAAATTAAATTCAATTTTAATATATTTCTATGTACAGTTTCACCCTTTTTATTACCAACTGGCAAGTTTTAGCAATTTTACGTTGCTATGCGCTACTCTATGATATTTTTTATTTGAAAAGAGGTAAAGATGTAGTGATCTCTGAAACTTTTGTTGATTCACCAAAAAGTTAATTTAATCACGTGAAAATTTTTAACTCAATTCACGCACAACAAAATACAAAACAAATACATAATAATTTTCTAATTGCCCCTTTTTCTTTATCTCCATCACTACCGCTACTATTTAAAACGGACAAGTTATTAATTGAAGAAGCCAATAAATGATTCTCAACTACTTTAATAAATTATGATTGAAGTAAAGGAAAATCTAATTTATTCCAAATATATCCATCCTTTTCACTTGATGGTTCTTGATCAGATGGGCATGATAATCCTAAATCTGCATTATTACCTTCTGGGGTAAATTATAAAAATATAAAATTTTACCATTGTGAAGATCACAATGTATAAGTCTTCCTCGATGAAGAACATTTAAACCTAATGAAGCATTGTAATTTTATCTCTCCATCCTATAGTAGTATACTTTGATTTCATGTAATTTTTAAAACTTCCATAATCTGCATATTTCATTACTAGAACATATTCTTTTGTATCGGGTCCTGTAAAATGCCGTAAATATTAACAATACCATCATAATATGGTCCTATAATAGTTTATCAAGTAGTTTGATCTGCGACGTACTAAAAAATGTACTACATATTATGGTGGTAAATTAACCAACATATTGGGTGTCATATAATTGTTCTTACATAAGCAATTTCCCTAATATTTTTTAATATAATTATTATTAGATTTAAAAATTATGCAAGATCTAAATATCATGTAATCCACACATCCAGGATTTTAAAATTTTCATTCTGTGGATCATTAATATTTAAAATAACAATTTAATACCAGGAACCCGCCTTGTGATTTATATTTTTTTTATACATAGTTTTTTGACATTTTATCAGCATCGTTATTCTATTCTAATTTAATATTTCATAACAAGTTTCTTTCTCTCTTACACCTTTCACAGCTGTAGTTATGGATCGGTGCGATGGAAAATATTTTGCAATGATATATATAATTGATTAGATTTCTGCCATAGATTTGCAATTTGATTTTATTGTCAATGAATCACCGGTAATATTAAAGCCATCAGATTTAACTAATGAATCAAATTGGCCAATCGAAGCTTTTACAATAGGAATTCCAAATAAACTAGAACTAGTATTTGATTTAGGAATTACAACCACATAATCGCCATTTTTTAATGTCACATTACAATTACCACCATTACTACCGTCACCATTAATATTAATATTATTAGGATCAGGTATAGAAATATCATCAAAATAAATCTTATGCCCACCATCTGTGCGACCTTTTAACAATCGTCTTTTAGAGTGTTGATGATTTCGTTTTGAGTGACCTTCAACCAATACAATTTGTGGTTGATCAATAAGTTTAGAAAGTTTTATTTTTGCGCTTTGATGAAATACTTTAATGATTTCTGATAAACGACGTTGCTTAACATCTTTAGGAACATCATCTACATAGTTACGATGCGCATGTGTTTTTTCTCGCATGCTGTAATTGTTATTTTTAAGTAAAGTAAAATTAATTACTAAACAAGAATAATAAAAATAACAACAATAAGAATAACATATTAATTAATATAAAAATTGCAAACCTATATGCAAACATGTACGCCATATCATATTTTACCTAATAATAAATATATACCGTTAATAAAAATTTTAATTTCTAATATAATAAAAATTTCTAATATAACAATGAGATTTACAATTTCCATTAAACTGAGTGTGTCCTTATGTTCTTCTTCTGTCTCGCCACAAAATCCAGTAATTATATCTGTACTGATTGATACATTAGGAATTATATCACAAATGGTATTAAACAATTCCAAATATCTATTATTGTCGTTGTTATTTATTATTATATTAAAGTAAGTTAGCAAATAAATAAATAATTAATTAATTAATAGTGATTTAATGACCTACGCTTCACGTGAATAACCACGCCTCATTCTTTTTAAAACTTGAGTGTTTCCTGATTGTACAGGTAAATGAATTTGTTTACAAATATTTGGTCGTTCTGCTATAAGTTTCAATAATTCAATTGGAAAATCTTTTGGATGAGGTGAGGTAAAACGTATACGCATCTGCACACATATTCATAATAATTGATTATATATATATATATATATATATTAAAAATATATTCGTGTAAATAATCTTATCACAAAATGATATTATATGAATTACCTCTGGATCAACAATAGAAACATTATCTAATAATTCTGTAAACCTTATTCCGCCTTCCTTACGACGATAAATAGTAGAAAATCCTTTGTTACTTAATTCATTACCAATTCCGATTGATTGGTAAGATTCATATTGACTTGTATCTCGATATGAATTAACATTTTGTCCAAGTAATAAGACTATGCATGAGTTATTGTATAAAAAAACAAATGAATAAAATTTATAATAATATTAGTAGAAGTAGCAGTAGCAGCACTAGTACCATTTTTGTTTTTCTAACCTTCTTTAATTCCTTGGTTGCTCAACAATTTAACTTCTTCAATTATTGAAGGAAACAATGGCCTGCTCCTTTCAATTCCTATATAATATGTGAATCGCTTATATAGTCAATCATGTCACCCCAATATATATATATATTCATATGAATCAAACAAAAAAAAAGATTTCTACCTCTAAATATAAAAATTTGAAATTTGAAAAATCTATAAATTAGCATTATAATTAAATAAATTTGTATGAAAAAATAGTCAATAATTAGAAAAACCTTGTATGTGGAACTATACAAAATGAACACATATTATTACAACCCCTAAGACATTTATAAAATGTTTATTTAGATTAAATAAGCATATATATAATTAATCAAAAATATTGCTTAAAGAAAAAAATTTAAAATGTCACCTCATAATACTTAAAGTTGCACTAATGCTATCATTATGCAATCTAACGGGAGTTATATCTGCATAAGTTTCATCAGCTGATAACATAACATTTGCAATTCCTTGGGATGTTTGTGAAGAAAGTGATAAAAGATGTGGAAGTGATCGATAAGCGTCTGGGCCGCAAACAACATCAACTAATTTATCAGCATCTAAAAGTTTTGATTTTAATCTTTCTGCCATACACTAGGGATAGATTTATATAAACAAATCAGGGATAAATTAATAGGTCGATATTGATATTAATTGTGTATTAAAATGCATATAAATAAATAAGTAAATATCTTACACCCAATACACCAATCAAAGGTTTTAAATTTTCTTTTGTTTTAAAACTTTTCAAATATTTTAATCTATGCCAAATTTTATTTTCTGCTTTATCTCTTATTGCACACTATAAGAATGATACAATGAAATTAATAATAATCTGGGATAACCTTCATCATCACAATAATAACAATAGTAATTACCGTCACAAGGAATATTATATCAGCTTCTAGTAATATGGAGGTTTTTTGATAGCCCGCAGAATCCATAATTGACATCAAAATTTCAGTATCATTAACATTCATTTGACATCCATACACTTCAACATAATACTTTTTATCATTTCCCAAATTTTTATAATTATTATTAAAATTAGGTATATAAGGAATATTAAGACTTTCTGATAATGATGTTGTTGTTGTCGCTGCTGATGTTTTTGCTGATTTTAAAAAATCTTCAAAAGAAGGTGATTTATTATCAAATATTAGATGATTTTTTTTGATATTTTGCAATGCTGTCGTTGCTGTCGTTGTTGTTGTTGTGGTTGTTGTGGCTGGTGTTGAATAACAACATTTGTAATAATAAATTATATTAACAGTATTGGATTTTGAAAAAGAACATAATAGTAATTTATTTCCATTGCGATAGTTTATTTGATTTTTTAAATATCTATACATATATATTTTATACAATTTTTTTTTGAATTCGAAAATAGATCAATTGCTGATCTTTTTGTGAATGGCAATAAAAAATCCCAATCCGATTTCTTGGGATATAAATTACATGATATCATCACAATTTTTTATAACCTCCTTTGCTGAATTTAATAGAACTGTCTGTGGATTATCAATTAACTTATTATTATATCACAAAATACCGCGTAAACAGCAATCTCTTGGTAAATGAAAAGTTTTATATTTAAATCTGTTGCAGTAAAGTCCTCGAAAAAACAAGATTCTTCGAAAAGTTGACTATACTATTATTATAGTTCTCTAAAAAAAGGAATTGTTTAATAATTTCACACGATCAATTGCAGAGAACATATTATGGGGCAAAAAACAAAGCTTTTTTTTATTATGGCGCGCGCGGTTTAAAGAATTTCGATCGCTGCGCCACTCTGACTTTTCATGAACAGTGATGTTGTTAGCAAGTTATTTACAAAAAATGGACTTTACATGATTTTGAAGTAATTAAAAAATTAAATTTATATTATTATTATTATTATTATTATTATTACTACTACTACTACCCTTCCATTGAAACACACACACCAATAAATTTTTAAGATGGGAGTTTGTCATATTATCAAACCAGAGTGTGTTACAGACCTAGACGGTAAACCTAATAATATGGATGAGGCTTACAATATACATATTTAATATACAGTATATATAATTTCTTTATTTTTCCTTGATATATATACTGTATCAATGAACTAAATTTAATCAATAATAACATTATAATAGTAATAGTTTTGATATTTTTATGGTTTTTATAACTTTATTATTTCTTACCAGTTCTTTGTATTCACAATTATCAAACAATACATATATATATATATATGACATTAACAAGTACTATGATCATTATTACATTTTGAATTAATTTTAAAAAATAAATTGATTTATGCATATAAACATTTTTGTTAATACTAAAAATCCAATATGATGGTCACTGACATCACTGACCAATATTGCTTAGATTTATATATTAATAGATAATAATTCAAATAATAAACGAATGATAACAATTCAAATGATAAACAAATGATGTCAATTCGAATAATAAACAAATGATGATAATTCAAATAATAACAATAAACAAATGATACAATTCGAATAATAAAGAATGATAACAATTCGAATAATAAACAAATGATACAATAAAGAATGATAACAATTCGAATAATAAACAAATGATACAATTCAAATAATAAACAAATGACAATAACAATTCAAACAAAACAAATGATTTGAATAATTCGCAGTCACTAAATCTGGCATAATAATGTTCAATCTAAACTAAAATCACCATATACAGCTACACTACTTGAGGCATCCCTACAAACAGTATAGTAAAACTAATAAAAAGGGTCTCTAACTAATAATTAAATGTTGGCCAAACCATTAATCATCAAAAAGGGTTATGAATCAACCAATCATGCCAGATTTATTAATTAATGAAAGCATTATTTTTATTACCAAAGTGTTATAAGATAATTTATTTATTTTTATTGATTAATTTTTTTTCACTAAAGGAGATTTCAAGCATATTTATACTTCTTAAAGTATTACAAATAACATGATTTTGTCCAATAAAATAAAATAAATAAAATAGAATGATAAATGATGACTATATAATTGACAATTACTAAAGTTAAATGTCAAAAATGAGTCATTGATGATGTCATGATTAAATGATACCTGATGAAATGTTTTTGTCATAATTAATTAAAAATATGATTAAACAGAAAAATATGGCAATGTAACTCTGAACACATTTATATTGCACCAATTCCATTCAATTCATTAATGGCATAGAAGACTTTGATGAACCTTTTTTTGGAGTAAACACAGCTTTAATAGGACAGGTTTTTGGATTATTTTTGCTGGAAAATCAATTAATTAGCTGAATAAACCCTGAACTAGAAATAAATCAGATCAACTCATTTATTTAACTTATCAAACAATTATACTATTGATCCAGAATTAAAAGAGCACAACAATCATGATTGTTATATTTGTAGTCCTACTCTAACCTAGAAACATCATCATCAAAATCCATCATCTTTAAATATTGTTAGTTCTCAAACTCATACTAAAAAATAATAATTTACGAAGAGGAACTAAAAAAAGGAGTATTGCTTGAAAGTATTCTTTAAATGAAATCTCACCAGAAGCTCAAGATGCTCAAAATCTTAATGATGAATCTAACTCATCACAGCAAGGATTATTTGCTCTCACCACACTTCTCATCACTTTCAATGTCTGGTTACTAGGTATTGGAGCAAAAATATCATCAATTCCATTGCATCTAGTCTCCTCATCATGATATGTTTTCAGTATTTGTCAGATTTGTGATGTCTTCTTGCTTTAAACAACAATAGACATTGGAATAGCAATAGGTTTTGTCAGATAGCAGCTTTGTAGCATTGGGGTAAACATCAAAGATTCCAGGTCAGGGTTTCCAAATAAGACTAGAAGTTTGACATTGTTTGATTCAACAAAACTCACAATCAGTATACTGTAGTTTGTGTCAGTTGGCTTTTTATTTGATAATTTAGGTATAGTTTTTATTATATTTAAATTATTCAGATACATGTATTAAATTTTTTAAGATTTTTAATATTAATAAATTATTTATATATTATATATATTATATATATTATATGATATATCAATAATTCAATTTGTTAAAACTATAAAAAAAATGAAACCATTGATTTGAAAGGTAAGAAACAAACAATACTGCAATTATGTATGTATGATAACAATAATTATTAAAAATTACATTTATTTTTTTATTTAGTGTGCATATTTGACATTTAAATTTCAAAATCAAAAAAAAAATACAAAGGAGTTATTATATGATATCATTACTCAAGACATTTAAACCATAGTATATAGCCAGATAAATAAAAATAAATAAATAATACATAATAAGTGACAGGATTTAACTTATTCAAGTAATCCATCTGGTATAGCTAAATCAATTTGTTTAGAATCTACAAATATTTATCACAAGAGTGGATATTAATAAATATTGTTAATTTAATAAAAATGAAAATAGTCAATGATTGAATATT